ATCGGGTGCACGCACCTGGGTAACGAGGGGGAGAGGAACTAGGCCTCGCAGGTTTAGAATTCAATCTGATTTTCCCCACCACCTCCTCATCAAAGCCCCACCAAGTCTCCATTTACACAGCTCCCAGGACGGGGCTCTCACTGTTTCCCGTGGCAGAAAGTCATTGCTGGGAACCTGCCTCCTTCCCGCGGATTGCTCGTGGCCCTGTTTGAAGTTCTTCTAAAACCTGCCTGGAAGTTAAGAAAAAAGTAAAAATAAAAAATACCGAGGCCCGGCCCCACCCTAGGCTTAGGCCAGAGTCCCTGAGTGTGAGTGTGAGTATGTGTGCCTGTGTGCCTGCCCCTTTGAATCGCTCGTTCCCCTCTGCCCCCCCACCCCCGTGATGGGCTGGAGCCCTGCCGTGGGGCCACACAAGTTGAATCTCGGCAGCCTTGTGTGTGCCGGAGCGGGGGCACATGCTCTGGCACGCTACCCCACGCGGAGCTCGCTTTCCTGCCCACCAGCCCCCTTCCCCGGGGCTTCACGTGCTCTTCAGATGGTGCAGTTTGGGGTTGAGAAACTGGGTCCCTGCACTTCCTTCTCCCCACCCACGTTTGGACCCAGCTCCCTGGTAAGCAGCCGCCTTTACCAGATGACCCGTGGGGGCGGGAGCTGAGCCTGAGCACCAGTCCTGACTTGTCTGCGGCCCAGGCAGGGGGTTGAGGAGGTGGATGAATCCACGGTGCTGGCATCTGGGCTGTCTCCTGCTCACGTTCTGTTGCTTTGGGGTGGGTGGGGCAGGCTTGGAGGGACAGGGGAGCTGGGAGTCTCTCTTTTGTTTCCTTTCCTTGCTTTCCTGCTAATAAGTCCTAAGGATACACGGGAGCTCCGGCCACTTTCTGCTGGGACAGCCATCATCAAAGAGCCCTGGAAGTACAGAGCAGGGTCTGGGATTCTTGGTGGCAGGGCCAGTGCCCACGCCTCACTGGCACACCATAACTAGCTTCATGAGCTGTGCTCAGCCTTGGTCTGTTTGGCCTTGGGTTTGAACTAAGTTATGCCAAATGTCGTGGCTTTAAGACAGGGTTGGGGAAAGTAGCACTCAGGCCACTCCTTGCCCCTCCTGTGCTCATGACAGACATTGCTAATAGATCATGGCCCCTCCTGTGCTCATGACAGACATTGCTAATAGATCATGAGACTTCCTTCTGACGGAGCCTGCATGCAGCTTCAGAATCCTCCTTGACTCAGGACACCAAGGAGTCAGCAATGTCTCTGGCTCCAGCTAGCAGCTTCACCCGACACTTCCTTGAGCTGAGGGGATGTTCCTTCTCCTCCACCCTGCCTTCTGCCTCTCCATAGGGAAGAGGGAGGAGAGTCGTGGAGGGGCGTGGCTACCTGTGGCCCTGGGCATTGCTGCAGCCACAAAGGCCATCTTAGGTTTCTGCTTGGCGTCTGTGTGTTCTCGAGGGCAGGCTGTAGAGTCCAGCTGTTTGGACTCTTCCCTGATGGTTCCTTGACCTTGACCTTCTCATGTTGAGGACACCCTGGCCCTGGGCAGAGCTGGTTCTCTCTCTCCCAGCCCTGCTACTCCCCCACTGAGGGTGGGGACCAGGGGCCTCCGGGCTCCCCCTGGCTGCCTCCATCCACTCTGAGCACCCCCTTGCAGCATTGAGCCTTGGGGGCTGGTTCCAGCCACGCTGATCTTCCCTCTGCCCACGCAGTCTGCTGACCCAGGCCCCAGCTTTCTCATTCCTTGTGGGGCTCAGTGCCTGCTTCCGATCCTCTGTCCCATGCTGCTCCAGCGGCCTCAGGCATGGAGGGCGCCTCGTCCCCGCTGCTCGGCATCCTCATCCAGGAATGCCTCGCCCTTGGATGCCTCCCCACCCTCCTATCTCACTTCCTTTTGGCTCTTATCCACACGTCACCTCCTCAGAAGAGCGCCTGCCGGCACCCCCTGCAGCATGCCCACTCGCTGCAGCTCTCCTGCCTTGTCTTCCTCTGTAGCCCTCATCTCCGTGTAAGTCATGTGCACTCACTTACCTATGACCCGCCTCTCGTTCTGGAAAAGCCCCTGAGTGGCAGGCCTTTGCTGTCTTACACCCGGGACTCATCTCATGCCTGTACACTAGGAAGCAGCCCCTAGCAATGGCTGAATGAATGACTCCACCAGGCATGCAGGCCGTGAGGGCAGGGCACCCAGGGCAAGCGCTCCCACCTCACAGCCTGGAGGCCCCCTGCCCCGCCCCAGCCTTCACAGAGGTCACTTCGCAGAGAGTCTCGAGTGTCTCCTCAGGACCAGGTCTAAACACACGTGATTCGGTTATAATCAATTAAATGTAATTTCCTCATTGGTGTGCATATCTTTCCACATTGCTTTTCTGAACTGTAGATAAATTTTATATCTATATAAATAGATACATTCAAAAATGGCATTTTGGAGGCCAAGGCGGGCGGATCACCTGAGGTCAGAAGTTTGTGACCAGCCTGGCCAACATAGTGAAACCCCATCTTTACTAAATATACAAAAATTAGCCGGGCGTGGTGATGAGTGCCTATAGTCCCAGCTACTCGGGAGGCTGAGGCAGGAGAATCGCTTGAACCCAGGAGGCGGAGGTTGCAGTGAGCCAAGATTGCACCACTGTGCTCCAGCCTGGTCAACAGAGCAAGACTGTTGTCTCAAAAACAAAAACAAAAACAAAAAAAATTGCTGATGAAAACAAAAGCAGCCTGCTTTTCAGTCCCCAGCAGGGAGCATGGTGCTCCTGTCTCAGCCTGAGCCTTGGGGGCCAGTTCCTGACTCCTGTACTCTCCATGCTGTTCTCCCCTCTCCTGCCTCCTTCCTCCTCAACACTCTTCTTTCTCCTTCTTTCTACTTTCCACTCTCGCTTGCTGTCTCTAGCCCATTTCATTCCAGAATTGTTCTCAGTCATGGGGTAGCTAAGGCGGCTACACACTGAAGGTTTCCAGGGCCAACAGAATGTCCAGTCTGTGTCTGAGGAGGTGTCCTGATTTGCAGTTTGTGGTCCATGGGAGGCTAGCTTACTGCACCACTCCTGTCCCACCCATTTTACAGATGAGGAAAGTGAGGCTCAGGGAAGGGAGTTCAGCGATGCCCTTCTTATCTTACCATTTCTCATTATCCTAGAAATCATGCAGATAGAATTCTTGTGAATCAGAGAAAAGTCAAAAATTGAGTGATGTTCCACTCTTTGATATATACCCTAATGGCATGTAGTGGGTGTGGAGGAAACAGCCATGCATTCAAATAGTTAACAGGTGTGTGTGTGTGAATGGAGAATGTGTGTAGTTTTAAATTTCCCTAACAAGTGGGCTAGAAGAAGAATAAAATATGAAACTGACATGAACGCTCAAGGTTACCCCAGGAGGTACAGGAGCTCTCTTCATTTTGCAAACCAGGAGTCCAAGATCTAGGAGAGCTGGGGTTGGACTCCATAGCTGGAGCAGTCCCCAGGACCTGGTCTTGACTCACAGGTTAGACTCCACTCAGAGGCTGACTGTGCTCCAGGGTCTGCACCTCTAAGGGTGACACCTGAGCTCAAGCTGACCACCATTTTCTATGTGGGATGAGCCTTCACAGGGCGGCCAGTTGGGATGGGTTGAGGGTTGGCTGCAGATATCAGAAACCGAAGTCAAATGCGCTTCAACCAGTACAAAATTCATCAGCCCACAGAGCCGAGGTTGGGTGGACATTAGGGTTGGTGGATCCAGGAGCTCAACAGTGTCCTCTGAGCCCCAGCTCCTTCTGCCCCCACCCCACCATCTTCAGTGCTACTTCCTCTCAAGGCCACAGCTGCAGTTGGCCATGGGGACAGCCAGGGGAGCTTCATTATTTTTTGCTCCCTGGCAGTAGGAGGAAGAGAATGAATGTCTCCCCATGGGTCTTTCTTAGGAACGGGGGGACTGTTTCCGGAAGTCCCGATCTCTTTCAGTTTGTGCCGGGTCACTTGCCCTTCCCTGAACCACTTCCTGACTCCTGGACAGGATGTGCACTGATGAGCTTAGCTTTGGGGATCCAATAGTGACTTTACAAAACCTCTTTGAGGAGGTGACATTGGAACCAAAGCTTGAGCCAGACACAACAAAGACTGCAGGAAGGGGCATTGCAGGTCAAGGAAACGGCACACGCAAAGGCCCTGCGGTGGGAGTGAGCTTGGTGTTTGATCAATCAGTTGTCAGAGCACACTGGGCCCTGCTCTGAGTATGACAGAGAGCCCCTGGGAAGTTGTAGGTGGAAGAAAGACAGGTCATGACTAAGAAAAAAGCAATCCCTCTGCCGTGGGGTGGAAGGAAGGTTGCAGTGTGTCTGAGAGAGACAGACAGACAGACAGAAACTTCTGCAGTGTTTACAAGTGCTCAGGCCCTGACCCAAATGCTTACAAACTTACATAGTTCTGGAAACTCCCAGTGTGTAATTTTCACTGCTCAAAGAAACCTCAGGCGTGTTTTTCTCTGAAAGGTCATCAGGTTTTGACTCTTTGCTGTCTCATTGCTTATTACTGGTGGTGGTGATGGGGGCTTGTCCCAGGCCTTGTCCCCGCATCCTCTTGTCCCTGCAGAGGGATGAGTGTGTTGGGGCCTCACACGTCGAGGTCGTTCATAAGCAGATCTCTTTGAGCAGGGCCCCTGCAGTGGCACTGTGGGAGGTGGATGGGGTTTGAGTCCCTTATGGAATCCAGGCAGATGTCAGCATTTAAACAACACACGTGTATAAAAGAAACCAGTGTCCGCAGAAGGATCCAGAAAGTATTATGGGATAAGACTGCGTGAGAGAGGAATGGGGGCATTGGCACCTCCCTTAGTAGGGCATTTGCTGGGGGTAGAAATGAGTATTAAGGCAGTTAGACCCTTGAACTGGCTTTTGAATCAGGAAATTTACCCCTCAGCCATCTGTGCTTGGTTGCTGTTCACATCACCACCTAAGATGGAGGGAACTTTTGATGTGTGTGTGTTTCTTTCTCCTCACTGGGCTCTGCTTCTTCACTTCCTTGTCAACGCAGAGAACAGCAGCAGTGACCAGAGGCAGGCCTGTAAGAAGCACGAGCTGTATGTCAGCTTCCGAGACCTGGGCTGGCAGGTAAGGGGCTGGCTGGGTCTGTCTTGGGCATGGGGCCTCTGGCGTGGGCTCCCACGAGGCAGCGGGTCTGTGCTCGGTCCTATTTCTCATCTCTGCCAGTTAAGACTACAGTATCAAGTGGCCTCGCTGCAGAAGGGGACTTGGGCTAAGGATACAGGGAGGCCTCATGAAGTCCAAGAGCAGAAATGTGTTTGAGACTTGAACTCGAACCAGGAACCCAAACACTTTGAACTCTGAACCCCATTCTCTGCATGCACCTCATTCCCATCTGTCGGCTGGCTGCTTCTCAAGATGATGCCAGGCTGTGTATTTGAATCCAGATACCTGGGGAGCCATCTCCTCCTCTGCCCTCTGTCCTCATCCCATTCCCATTCCCACGGGAGGGATGGATCTGCCCAACTTGGTTCAGGCCATTGTTCCTGGACCAGTCAACTGTCTTAGGGATGTGATCATGTTACTAGCACATGGCTGCCCCCTCTGGAGCCATCTGCATGGAGTGAGGCAAAAGGCAGGGGATGAATCCTAGGAGAGGAGTGAAGGTCATCTGATCCACCATGTGTCGGCTGTGAGCTCTGGTGTGATTCTCATTCAGCAGTCGTGCAGCGTCTGCAGCATTCTGGGCCCTGTTCTGGTACCGGATCGGAGATGCAGCATTGAACATTGCAATGTATCTGCCCCGTGGGGCTCAAATATCCCTGGAGAGGGTATTGTCATGAGGTCATCAGGGCAAGTGGTGGTATTCTACCCTCAGGGAGCTTGTAGTTCAGTGGGAGAGTCTAGAATCTTCCCTGGGGATTATGCCCAGACACACTCAGGGCGTGCACACACACAGCCAGCTCTGAGCCCTCCTGTGAGCCTGCCCTCGGGACTGATGACCACATCCACCCGCTGCTGGGACAGAACCCAAACTCCAGGGGCCCCTGCTGGAAGATTCCATGCGCTTAAGCCTCACCGAGGAGTGTATTGATTATTGGGCAACGTTTCTGCGCCACCCAGACCCTAGAGGCAGGTATGGCACATGGATCCCTTCCTGACCAGTGTACAGACCTGTCTACACTGTCACTGAATTCTCATCCTGAGCCAGCATGGGTGACGCCATTAGGAGTTATTAGCCTCTCTGGCAGGTGGGCACACCAAGGCATGGAGGTTGGTTTAAGGTGAACTGCCAGTGTATGACCACCTAGTGGCGGGTAGAGCTGATGATTGCCTCACACCAGAGACTCCTTGCTGTGCCACCTTTTGTCCAGAAGACACAGCCATGGATGTCCATTTTACGATCAGCCAAGCTCTGTGGGGCTTTCCTTCATGTTTATTTTATGGTTTTTTTTGTTTTTGTTTTTTTTAGAAATGGGGTCTTGCTCTGTCACCCAGGCTGGGGTACAGTGGTGTGATCATAGCTCACTGCAGCTTTGAGCTGTCTTCCCACTCAGTCTCCCAAGTAGCTTGGACTGTAGGCCAAGACTATAGAATGGTCCTCCTTTCCATTCTTGTGGGACCATGAGAGGCCACCCATGTTTCCTGCCGCTGCCGGGCCCCCTGCTGCTCAGAAGGCATGGTCTGAGCCTTCATCCTCAGGTCGTGAGCCTGGCGTGGTGGCTTCTGGCCAGCATGGGGGTTGGGATGATGTGGCTCAGGCCTTCCGCATGGCTTCCCACACTCTCTTCTCTGCAGGACTGGATCATCGCGCCTGAAGGCTACGCCGCCTACTACTGTGAGGGGGAGTGTGCCTTCCCTCTGAACTCCTACATGAACGCCACCAACCACGCCATCGTGCAGACACTGGTGGGTGTCACGCTATCTTGGGGTGTGGTTACCTGGACCGGGCAGGCTGCAGGGCCCCCAGATCCTGCTGCCTCCAAGCTGGGGCCTGAGTAGATGTCAGCCCATTGCCATGTCATGACCTTCAGGAGCTCCTTGCCCCATTAAAAAAAAAAAAAAAGCAAAAGTTGTATTTTATGACTGGTTTGGTATAAAGAGGAGTATAATCTTTGACCCTGAAGTACATTTATTTCTCCTAATTTTAAAAGTAACTGAAAGTTTTATGGGCTCCTTTGAGGATGCTTGTAGTATTGTGGGTGCTGGTTACTGTACCTAACAGGGCACTGGGCCCTGCTTCATTTTCCTGTAGAGGAAACAGGTAAACAGATGAGAAATTTCAGCGAGGGGCAGACTGATCAGAAGCTGGCCAGCAGAATAATGGGATGGAGAGATGAGTGGGGACCCACGGGGCCATTTCGAGTAAAATTTCAGTGGGGTCACTGGGAAGATTCTGTGTGATAATGAGATGAACGTGCCCAGCACATGGCGACACTCAGTAGATGTTATTCCTGCTCTGCCAACAGCATCCATAGTGATAAGAGCTATAGGGATTGTGTTCTTTTGCTTAGAATCCAAGGTTCAAGGACCTTGGTTATGTAGCTCCCTGCCATGAACATCATCTGAACCTTTCCCGCCAGCTGATCATCCACCCTGCCTTGAATGCTTCTAGTGACAGAGAGCTCACTACTGGGACTACTCCCTCCTTTCATTTAGTAATCTGCCTCCTTTTCTTGCCCCTGTCCTGTGTGTTAAATCCTGGAGAAAAATCTCATCTATCCCTTTCATTTGGTTCTGCTCTTTGAGGGTAAGGGTTTTTGTTTCTTTGTTTGCTTTTTTAAGCATTGATTTTCCAAAGCCCTCTCCCCACTCCTCAATTGTAAACTCCAAAGCCCTACTTGGGATTGAAGGTCCTTAGGCTGGAAAGGGAAGAGTCCTCCCCAACGTGTTCCTTGGTCTGGATGTGCTATGCTGTGCCAGTATCCCCTGGAAGGTGCCAGGCATGTCTCCCCAGCCGCCAGGGGACACATCTCTATCCTTCTCCAACCGCTGCCTTCATGGCCCATGGAACAGGAGTGCCATCGTCCTGTGTGCACCTACTTCCATCAGTATTTCACCAGAGATCTGCAGGATCAAAGTGAATTCTCCAGGGACTGTGAAATGATGCAATTGTGGTCATTTTTAAAAGGGGACAACTGTCTTCTAGAGAGTGCTGATGAAATGCTTCCAGAGGAAATGAGCTGATGGCTGGAATTTACTTTAAAATCATTCAAGGTGGAGCAGGTAGGGAAGGGTATGGATGTGTAAGAGTTTGAAATTGTCCATCATAAAATGTGTAGAAAGCATGCTAGCCTGTGTCAGCGGCCACAGCCTGGACGCTGGGAACAGAGTGCCAGTCATTGATGCTCTTGCCTGGCACCTGCAGTTGCTGGAAACCCAGAAGTTTCACATTAAAAACAACAGGACAGTGGAATCTCTGGCCTATCTTGGACGTGGCAGATCTGCTAATTTACTGAGCTCGGTCGGCTGCCGTCAGCTTAGGTTGAGTGGCGGCCTCTTCCCTTAGTTTGCCTTAGTCCCCACTATTCCCTATTGTGTTACCCTTGGTCTGCTTTGCTCATCAGTGGCACTCATGTGGCACCCATAGGCATTTGAGTTTGTGTGTCCCTGGCCCACATCCTCTGTAAGGTACAGAGAAGCCCATGAGCAAGATGGAGCACTTCTGGTGGCTCCAAGTCAGGGACACTATCCAGCATTCTGCAGTGCACAGGGCAGTTCCCCAACAGAGAATTACCTGGTCCTGAATGTCGGATCTGGCCCCTTCCTTCTCAACTGCATAGTGTGAAAACCTCTATGCTTTGGTTCGCTTGTCTGCAAAACAGGGGTAATCCCAGAACTGAGTTGTCCAGGTAAAGTGCTTAGAACAGGGAGTGCTTGGCTTGGGGAGTGTCACCTGCGGTCATTTATTATGCCCAGACAGGATGTTTCTTTATAGAAACGTGGAGGCCAGTTAGAAGGACTCACCGCTTCTCACCACTGCCCATGTTTTGGTGTGTGTTTCAGGTCCACTTCATCAACCCGGAAACGGTGCCCAAGCCCTGCTGTGCGCCCACACAGCTCAATGCCATCTCCGTCCTCTACTTCGATGACAGCTCCAACGTCATCCTGAAGAAATACAGAAACATGGTGGTTCGGGCCTGTGGCTGCCACTAGCCCCTCCGGGAATTCAGACCCTTTGGGGCCAAGTTTTTCTGGATCCTCCATTGCTCGCCTTGGCCAGGAACCAGCAGATCAACTGCCTTTTGTGAGACCTTTCCTTCCCTATCCCCAACTTTAAAGGTGCAAGAGTATTAGGAAACGTGAGCAGCATATGGCTTTTGATCAATTTTTCATCCAATGAACAAGATCCTACAAGCTGTACAGGCAAAACCTAGCAGGGAAAAAAAAAACACGCATAAAGAAAAATGGCCGGGCCAGGTCATTGGCTGGGAAGTCTCAGCCATGCACGGACTCGCTTCCAGAGGTAATTATGAGGGCCCGCCAGCCAGGCCACCCAGCCGTGGGAGGAAGGGGGCGTGGCAAGGGGTGGGCACATTGGTGTCTGTGCGAAAGGAAAATTGACCCGGAAGTTCCTGTAATAAATGTCACAATAAAACGAATGAATGAAAATGGTTAGGATGTTACAGATATATTTTCCTAAACAATTTATCCCCATTTCTCGGTTTATCCTGATGCATAAACAGAAGCTGTGTCATGTGGAGGGCGGGGAGGTCCCTCTCCATTCCCTACAGGTTTCATTCTGAGGCTTGCAGATGTCCAGTGTTTACCAAGGTTTGCCCAAATCCAAGATCTAGTGGGAGGGGAAAGAGCAAATGTCTGCTCGCAGGAGGGTTGTGTGTTGACCTTTGGAGGAAAAATATGTTCTGTTGTTCGGTTGGATTTGCAGTGGCAGAAATGAAACTAGGTGTGTGAAACACCCGCAGACATTTGGAATTGGCTTTTCAGCTCGCCCCAGTGGTAGTAAATCCATGTGAAATTGCAGAGGGTACAAGGACAGCAAGTAGGATGGAACTTGCAACTCGACCCTGTTGTTAAAAAGCACCAATGGGCCAGGCGCGGTGGCTCACGCCTGTAATCCCAGCCCTTTGGGAGGCTGAGATGGGCGGATCATTTGAGGTCAGGAGTTCGAGACCAGCCTGGCCAACATGGTGAAACCCCATCTCTACTAAAAATACAAAAATTAGCTGGGCATGGTGGCACACGCCTGTAATCCCAGCTACTCTGGAGGCTGGGGCAGGAGAATCGCTTGAACCCAGGAGGCGGAGGTTGCAGTGAGCCGAGATCACCCCACTGCACTCCAGCTTGGGTGACAAAGCGAGACTCCATCTCAAAAGAAAAAAAAAAGGACGCACCAATGAAGCCTAGTTCTCCACGGGAGTGGGGTGAGCAGGGGTACTGCACATCCTCCCAGTGGACCCTCTGGTCTTTGTCTGCAGCGGCATTCCAAGGCTGGGCCCTGGCAAGGGTACCCGTGGCTGTCTCTTCATTTGCAGACCCTGATCAGAAGTCTCTGCAAACAAATTTGCTCCTTGAAGTAAGGGGGAGATGGCATAATAGGAGGTCTGATGGGTGCAGGATGTGCTGGACTCACATTGCAAACAGAAGCCTTGTTGAGGGTAACATCCTAACCAAGTGTCCCGATTTGGAGGTGGCATTTCTGACATGGCTCTTGGTGTAAGCCCGCCTTGCCTTGGCTGGTGAGTCCCATAAATAGGACGCAGTCAGCCTACGGCCACAAACACAAGGCCTGGGGGAGGGCTACACTGTCTACAAACGTTTTCCGCATCTGTAAAGGAAGCAAGGTGATCCGAGACTGTGGCCATGTGGAACCCGGTCTTGTGGGGGACTGTTTCTCCATCTTGACTCAGACGGTTCCTGGAAACACCGGGGCTCTGTTTTTATTTTCCTTGATGTTTTTCTTCTTTAGTAGCTTGGGCTGCAGCCTCCACTCTCTAGTCACTGGGGAGGAGTATTTTTTGTTATGTTTGGTTTCATTTGCCGGCAGAGCTGGGGCTTTTTGTGTGATCCCTCTTGGTGCAGGTTTTCTCACCACTTACTGACCCAACCAGCCTCTGGTTAGCATCATTTGTACATTTAAACCTGTAAATAGTTGTTACAAAGCAAAGAGATTATTTATTTGCATCCAAAGCTCTTTTGAACCCCCCACCCCTTAATCCCTCGTTCAGGATGGCGAGCTTGCTTTCCTTCAACCTGTTTGTTTTCTTATTTAAGACTATTTATTAATGGTTGGACCAATGTACTCATGGCTGTTGCGTCGAACAGTCTTTAGTGAAAATTCTGTATAAATAGACAAAATAAAAAGGGTTTGACTTTGCAATAAAAGGAGACGTTTGGTTCTGGTTCTTTGGCCTGTGTCTGTCTGTGTGTGTTGTGTTTTTCTCTCAGTTTCTGAACACTGAAGTTCTCTCACACTGCTGAGAGCTCCCTCCCTTCGCCTCCACCGTGAACACACTGTTTAGCATTCAGGCCTTGGGGGGAAGTGGGCGCTCGTCAATATTTGGTGCAGCTGTGTGGGGCTCTGGGCAGGAGAGATGGAACCAAACAACACATGTGAATTTGGTAGAGGCTCCACTACAAAGGTCCTTGATTGAATTACAGTGCAGCTGTCAGCAGCTGTTTCAAAGAGGCAGGGGGTAAATTAGCTGTGTTTACTGCTAACATAGTTGAAAGATTTAGTCATCCCAATAAAATAGAGGCAGCACAGAGAGAAAAAGGGCACGAGGTGCACACCCAAAACTTTAAAGCAGTGCCGGCCCCGGAGCTGACACTGTCCAGTGCAAATGATTGGGGCAGTGGGGAGCAGCTGCTGGAGCGCGGCTGTGGATGTGGACGGCTCCCAGCAGGCCTGGCAAAGGTGCCTCGCCGAGCATGGAGCAGCACTCGGCCGTGTAGCGTGGAGCAGCATTTTGGACGCCTTTCCACTTTGAAGTGCACACTCAGGTCACCTGATGTCTGTTGTTGGAATCCCAGCCTGATACTTGGACAGGCTGCCCATTCTTTCCCTATTGCCCGAAATAAAACGGCTGCTCCTCACAAGTCCAACCCTTGTGATTTCCAGACCCTCCTGCCATTGTCCCGACGAGCAGTTTAGCGTTTGTTCTATTTTCCAGGCTGAAGACCAGAGCTGCACACCGGAGGTCCAGATGTGGCCTCCACATGGGTCTGACTCCCCGGCATGGTGTTTATCCGTGTGTTAAAATGTGCATTCATCGCCAACATGTTCTTGAGTATCAGAAGAAGCTGGTGAAGAAAAACTCCCCAAATCTGGCTTCTCTTGAGAATCGGCAGGCCTGGTCACTCTGGGCCCCACACATATGAGGCCGCTCTGGGTGGCTGCAGAGGGACAGCTGGTGCCCAGTCTCCACTGCTCCCTATCGCCTCTCTTACAAAAGGGTGAATGTCAGTTGCTGTTTTTAAAATTGTAGATGCCGATTTATGTGCATCCATGTCCCTAATGTCCCTATTAAGAGCAGGAAACTAGAGGCTAGCCTGGGAGAGCCGGGCACTTTGGAAAGGACAAACATTATTTTGTCACCGCTGTCCCACTTTCCTGTTTGGCCCCCTGGGCAGGCCCTGCAGGCATGTGCTTCTGTGGCTGTAGCACCACAAATGGCCTCACCTTTCTTCTTTACCTTCCATCCTCCTGGTTTCCACCTCTCTTGCTCATTTCCCCCCTGGAGCATTTTCTTGTTGCCTCTCTTCTCAGTCTCGCTCAGTGTCAGGCACAGAGAGGTGAAGGAATTTACTCAAAGTCCCCCAGCTAATAGTTACTGGAACTGAAATTTGAACCTCAAAACCTGGGCTCAACCCCAGGTTTTCCTGAGCTGGAATCTCCCGGGGCTGCTGGAGAAATGTGGGCATTCCTGGCTGGCAGTTCTGAGCCTCCCAATGTGCGTCCCCAGTCCTGTGTGTCAGGCCCTGACGACTAAGTCGCTGGACCATTGCTCAGGGCTCAGCCTCCCTCTTGCTTCCAAATTGCCTGAGGGCCTTCCTCAGTGTGCACTGATGCTGAGCTTTAGCTTCCCTGGTGGGTGGGGCTGGTGGCCAGCCTGCTGTACTGTGGATGCTGCACATGAGTAGTCCTTTCCCTCTGTCTTCTCCTCCATCGCCTGGTGACAACAGTGTATGGACCATGCTGGGTGGTTGGGAGGGTTAGCAGTGGTCACCGGGGCCATCTATAGAGTGGATTCTCACTGGCATGTTTTGAGTCCTGCCCTCTGTTCAGATCTTTTGGAGACACTGAGCATGTGAGTTTTCTGGGGCTGCCATAAGAAATCGCTACCAACTGCTGGTTTAAAACAGCACAGATTCATTCCTGTGGCTCTGGAGGGCAGCCATGCAAAACCCAGGTGTCAGCAGGGCTGTGCTCCCTCCCTCCCTCAGCAGGGCAGGGTCCTCTCAGGGAGGACCCTTCCCAGCCTCTTCCAGCCTCCAGTGGCTCCAGGTGTTCCTGGGCTGGTGACTGCATCATCCCAATTTCTGCCTCTGTCTACACATGGCACATGGCCTTCTCCATCGCTCCTCTGTATGCCTGCCTTTCTTTCTTTCTTTCTTTCTTTCTTTCTTTCTTTCTTTCTTTCTTTCTTTCTTTCTTTCTTTCTTTCTTTTCTTTCTTTCTTTCTTTTCTTTCTTTCTTTCCTTCTTTCTTTCTTTCTTTCTTTCTTTCTTTCTTTCTTTTCTTTCTTTCTTTCTTTCTCTCTTTCTTTCTTTCCTTCCTTTCTTTTTCTTTCCCTTCCTTCCTTCCTTCCTTTCTTTCTTTCT